AACAAAAATGATCAGAATACACACACCGTGTGGGGTCCACATTTTTTAATTTTTTTAATACACGTTGGGGCCCACTCCATTGTGAGTTTTTTGGTGCATTTCTGTAGGGTGGTTTTTGTACGAATGGAAAAATATTATGGGCGTATTCGGTAGAGATTAAAATTGAAAAACTAGTCGTTATTGTTGATTTTTATTAGACGAGTGTGACCTATAACGACCATATTTTCAATTTTAATTGAATTTTAATCGAAAACAAACAGGCGATATATATATATATATATCCACAGTTCCATGTCCTAGAGAGCCTGAAAAGTCCAGAGCCTTCTCATGTGTAGACTCTGGTGAGAATTGCAAAACAAACAAAACTAGCAGAATGATGAGAGGTGCCAGACAAAAAGCCATGTCCATAGTCTTTTGCATTGATTAACCCCACCTTCGGCATTCGTATAATCATTGCACGGAATGAAAAACAAGAAATTGTTGGGCTTGGGCGGAATTATGATAACAGTCAAATTTTGTAAACACAATTGTACATCACATCATAAGAGTTCTCTATCCAATTCTCTCTCTCTCTCTTTAATAGGGTTTGCCAAATTGCAGTTACAATCCCCAACCCATCTCTTCTTTTATAGTTTTATCCCGGACACGGCGAATCACATGGAGTGGGCGTACACAAGAGATCGTGGACCATCTCGAGAAGGTATGATCTAATACGTTTTAGCTCGTTATCTTAGCGTAATACGTCAGTAATTTCAATTTTAACCCACAAACATAAGAATATAAAATACCATCATGATTACTCGACTGCGTTGATAAGTATTAAAATAGCATCGTGACAAAAAAAGAAAATGATTAAATAACCTCTATATAGCCACGTAAAAATAAATCCAATTGGCTAGTCTTTATTAATTAGCTTACTATACAATCAAGAAACTTGATGTTGTAAACTATGAGAAAGAGATTCAAAACTCACATATTCCAAAGGACAAAATAGCAAAATGTAAAAGTTCCCCACCACGTGAATAAAGAAGATTGGGACCTTAGATTCCTTGCACCAAACCCACATTATTTCTTCCTACTTATCTTCTAATTACCAAATAATATTATACTAAATACAAAAAAAATGCTATTAATTTACTTTGTCGCAATTGATTAAGGATTTTTTTTTTTTTTTTTGAAGTTAAGATTTCAAAGATTGATTCAAAATTATGTCACAAAACTCTTTTCAAGAAAAAAGGAAATATAATTCACAGTTGAATATTCAAGAAGACAGAGAATATTTTTGAAATAAAAAAAATAAGTAAAGAACCCATTTTAGCCAGGGTGAGACCGGCTCGAGCTAGGCAGGTTAATCAGACCACCAAAAGCCGAAGCCGCGCTGGAAGAAGAAGAAGAGCCGCCAGAAACAGAAAGCAGCTCTGTCAAAGCGCTCATGGCTCGGACTTGCATTTCAAGAGCTGGTATATAATCAATAGCCTCCTCTAAAATCACCGGCAAAGGCTCTTTCCGGCAACCGGGAACCAACCGACCGAGACTGCGCACTTTCCTGTTAATAACTGGTAAACTCTTCGATTTCAAACGGAAGATGCTCACTTTTGATTTCTTCTGCGGCCGGCTGTTCCCGGTGGTAACCACCATCACATTTCTCTGCCGTTTGGTGATGTTATTCTTCTTGAGAAACTTGAGCTTGAGCCGATTCGTGAGAATCGCCCGGCTCCAGCGGGAGCGGCCTTTGGCAGTGGTGGCGAGTACTCTATCGGCGGCTTCACGGAAAGCTCGGCCGCGCTTTGGAGTGGTGGTTTGGGATTGTGAGCCGTTGAGCCGGACATGGCTCAGCGTTTGAAGCAGCTTTGATGAGTAAATTTGTTGCTGAGATTCGGATTTCCATTCAATTGTAGAATTTTGATTCTGATTATTATTCAAATTATCTCTATGGATTTGGCTTTGGAATTTCTTCTTTTTTCTTCGAACCGATGATCTCTCGGAATTCACAACTGGATTTGAAGGCAGCGATGAAGTCATTTCTACATCCATCTGCTTCTGCTCTGTATCACTGTATGTATATATTTATTCAGGTGCTGAAATAATACATATAGATTCAGTACTTAATTAAAATCGAAAGCACTAGTAGATTCAAATTCAAAGAAAGCATGAATGAAATTCAATATGAGTGATAATCGATAATTAAGAATTAGCAGTAAATAAACAGATAATTTATGGTTTAGAAATCTCACTACAAAATGTAATTACGAAATTTTAGTTAGTACATACAACGCATGAGAGAATTAATAATAAGGAATTACAATTTACAAAAACTAAATAGATTCAGCAAAAACCTCCTGCTACACATAGATCTCATTTGCACACAATTTAGTGAAAAAAATCGATGAATCTGAATATGCAAATACAGAACAAAAATAAATCGAGATGTTAAAAACTTAACGTGAATTATTAAATTGATCATCACCTTTACAAACTGGAGAAACTATCCGTCTTTTATCTTGATTGATTCACTGCAATATTCAAAGAAATTTATCTTAGGTAGTGGTGACGGTGGTGGTGGACAAGGAAAAACTGCGAGGAGTAGGAAGAGGAGGCTTTTAGGGGATCCTGGGAGAGCATGCGGAGGCTTAAATTGAATGAAAATGTATGTTGGGGGTGTTTGAACAAATAATTAATAGCTTTTTCTTTATTAAAAAAAAAAAAAAAAGTGTAGCAGTGCCTATTTGCGCCATGTGGTGGATAGGGCCCATTTCACATGTGCGCTATTGTCTCTGGTACTCATAGACTTGGGCACGGTTTGATTTGGGTAGATTTTGATTCCAACCCGATATCAAAATCAAATTAGTCCGTTTGGATGAATTCAACTCAAACCAATCCACTGTAACTCTTAAAACTAATCGAGTTAAAATAAACCGGTTTGATTTGGTTCGGTTCGACTTAAAAAAAAAATGTTTAGATTCCAGGCCCACTTAGATTACAAGGAACTAAATAAGTTTATATCTAAAAAAAATTCTTAAACAACGAATAAAATTAGATCAATAGAAAACTTAAGAATTTGGTTGCTTTTTTATGCATTATGTAGCATAACTGCCTGAGCAGGGAAAAAGACTAAGTATAACATAATGAACTTGTGAAGGAAAATTCATAATGCTATTACTTACTCGCAGTATTATAGATTTGAGTGAATCGAGATATGGTTATGAGATTAGAGCTTAGTTTTTATTTTTATTCTTCTTTTTTTAAAAAAAAGGTAAACATATAAGTGGGTTGAATTGGTTCGATTAACCAGCGGTTTGAGGCTTCAAACTATGTCTGAACTGACTCACAATAGTTTTGTTTAAAAAAAAAAAAAAAAACAAACCAAGCCAAACCAATTACATATGTCAAACTGACCTGAACTTGTGTGAGTCGGTTCGGTTTGATTGATTTGATCGATTTTTCGATTTTTTTTTGCTCAGACCTAGTTACTCCTGGCTTCTTTTTTAAAATTATAATTATTTTTCCATTTTTCCCCCCTTTTGTGAAGATTACTTTTTCGTTTTCCGTATTTGATTGGTATATATTTGTACATGACTATTTACTTTTCTTTTAATTATTTGTCAATGAAATTTTGAATATTTTATTTTATACACTTCAGTCTTATTTAATACTATTCATATAGAGTCTTCTTAAATATTGGACATTGAGGCACCCTATCGTCGATAAAGCTTGAATGTATTTATAGATATTGAATAATGTGGCGTGACGGATAGTGGCTCCACTATCACATAAATTATCAAGCTTGTTTAGAATAAGTTTTAATATTTGTGTGTCCATCATATATCTATAATTAACTATAAATCTTTCTAGAGATAAACTGATACAAATTGACATAAGGTTATGATCTAAAGGATCGATCAATTGAGAAAGAAGAAACTCCGTCGAGATGAAAACATCAAACAATTAGAGGATCACTAATTTAATGATAAAAGAATAACATTGATCTTTAGTTGGAAACATCACAACTCACATTAAGATTAATTAATTAAACAAGAATATATGATCATCTAATCTTCCTCGGCAAGAAAGTGTTGGTGAAGTCTATATATGGTTTAGGTTTGGTGTGGAGCTTTGTTTAAACAAATGCTTATTATTTTAACTTATAATTAGCTTTTTGAAAAGTGAGACAGGCTGTTAATGTATAAGCACGAGAAATTAGACCATCTCCAATGATATTTTACACCAAATTTGGTATAGTTTGGTGTAACCTATAAGCACGAAGAAGATTACTTTTTCGTTTTCCGTATTTGATTGGTATATATTTGTACATGACTATTTACTTTTCTTTTAATTATTTGTCAATGAAATTTTGAATATTTTGTATTATACACTTTAGTCTTATTTAATACTATTCATATAGAGTCTTCTTAAATATCGGACATTGAGCCACCCTATCGTCGGATTGTTCGATAAAGCTTGAATGTATTTATAGATATTGAGCCCCTGTTTGGCCCCCATTATTTGGGATTTTGAGGGGGTTGAAAATTTTTAGAATAGTGATTGATGGGAGATGTGTGGTTGAAAAGTTTTAGATTTGTGTAAATTATTATTTTATTTGATGAATGTATGGTTAAGATGAAGAGAGAGAAAATTAATGTAATGGAATTTAATTTATGAAAAGTTTTAGATTAGTGTGTAATATTATTTTATTTGATAAATGTGTGGTTGAAATGAAGAGAAAAAAAAATTAATGTAATGGAATTTAATTTGATGGGGGGCAAACAAGGGCTGAATAATGTGGCGTGAAGGATAGTGACTCCACTATCACATAAATTAAATTAATTAATGATCATCCAGACTCTACATGAATAAGGTTATTATACATAAAATTATGTTTTGAATGGCTTTTTTTTTTTTTTATTGGTTTCTGATTCATTTTTGTTTTAGTTGAGTATGAATGATTTTTCTTGGCAAGCATTGTCCTAGTTCAAATAACTTGATTTAATTAAATAATTGAAGTTCGTTCAAACTTGACATTGTTTTCGAAGAATGTGTTATGATATAAATTATCGAGCTTGTTTAGAATAAGTTTTAATATTTGTGTGTCCATCATATATCTATAATTAACAATAAATCTTTCTAGAGATAAACTGATACAAATTGACATAAGGTTATGATCTAAAGGATCGATCAATTGAGAGAGAAGAAACTCCGTCGAGATGAAAACATCAAACAATTAGAGGATCACTAATTTAATGATCAAAGAATAACATTGATCTTTAGTTGGAAACATCACAACTCACATTAAGATTAATTAATTAAACAAGAATATATGATCATCTAATCTTCCTTTGCAAGAAAGTGTTGGTGAAGTCTATATATGGTTTAGGTTTGGTGTGTAGCTTTGTTTAATAAACGCTTATTATTTTAACTTATAATTAGCTTTTTGAAAAGTGAGACAGGCTGTTAATGTATAAGCACGAGAAATTAGACCATCTCCAATGATATTTTACACCAAATTTGGTACAGTTTGGTGTAACCTATAAGCACGAGGGAATAGACCATCTCCAATGATTTTTTACACTGGTTTAATTTGGTTAGTGCTTATTATTTTAACTTATAATTAGCTTTTTGAAAAGTGAGATAGCCTGTTAATGCATAAGCACGAGGGACTAGACCATCTCCGATGGTATTTTACACTAAAATTTGTATAATTTGGTGTAACCTACAAGCACGAGGGAATAGACCATCTCCAATGGTACTTTACACCAAATTTGGTTTAATTTGGTCAAATTATGTAACCAAATTTGACCATTGGAGATGGCTTTACACCAAATTTTACATCAAATATTATTTTGAATTATTTATTATAAATTATATTATGACAAAAGTAGTTAAATTAAAAATTAAACGTAATGAGCTAAAATATTGCAATTATTAATAAATTACATTGAACGCACAAGAAAAGTTAATTTATTGTTGAAATAATTATTACTTAATAATTTATCAGAATTTAAAAATAAATTTTAAATTAAAATAATTATAAATCTATTAATTCTAAAATATAAAAGAGAAATATAGATGGAAGAAACAATTTTTGTAAAGTGAAAAGAATGCAAAATGATGTTATTGAAAATTCTTATATTTGGAGTAAATGAAGAATTTTACATGAAATTTGGTATTCATTACACTTTTGTACTGTATTTGACACTTCATTGTAGAGGGTTTTATACTTAAATTTTGGGACTGAACAACGAAATCGTCAAATCACACAATCGAATTGAAATAATTGGTTTAGGTCAACATGGATCTTTCGGCGTTTTGATGTTGAACCACACCAAAATCACTTCAAAGTGGTTTGGTTTAAATTTCAATCTTTACAAATCTTTTTAAATCGTCAAATCGTTTATAAAAACAATATAAAAATAAATTAAATTTTATACAATCCAATTAAAACCAAACACGTCACAATTAAAAAGATACATCTATATTAGATATAATCCAATTAAATCTAATACCTAAATAGACAATTTCCATCACAATTAACTAATTAAGTTTTACACAAATACCCATCGGTCATCAAAACTATAAATGTAAAACCATCAAATTGAGTGAACCGTTGAACAATTGTTGTTGAATTATATTTATCGATCATCTATTACAATTGAGTAGACAATTAAATTTATATTTTAATTTAAATTCACACTTTTCTTTTCTTTTTGCTAGTAATTTTCTTGAATTTCGGCTAAATTTTCAGGTCAGATTATCCAATTTTTTTAATTTTTGATAATTGTTTGCTATGTTTTATTGGTAGTCGTGTTACTTTACTATAATTTGGTCCGGGTTCCCTTAAATTTTTAGCGGACAACATTTTTTATTTACATCTCAATTTCCTAGTCAATTCACACAATTAATTATTCACATTTAACTTTGTTTCTACATTTTACCGTTAATTGCTAGATTATTTAGTAGATTACTTAAATGATCGTTTTGAAGATTTGATCAATAAACCTTTCAACATGTTACTTTGGTGAAAATTC